TGACAGGATACATCCCTGGCTGATGAATTCACACCAGCTCTTGAGATGATAAAACTGTTGACCTTGTACCTTCTCTCCAATCACCAGGCCACCCTGCTGCCTGACACTTTGAGAATCACTCTGAAAACCTTGTGTACCCAGCTGCGTAGCCACCTGTGTAACCTTATAGACACTAACTGGTCATGGCAAAGCTGTCATGTCCTATGTAATCTTTTGCCTCTCATTCGTTATCTTCTTAGTGGGATGCCTTTTTTAACAGTGAGCCACTTAAAGGCCACGCTTTATAGTGTCAGAGCATCTGAGAATATGCTTTGCAGGGTGGCTAAACCTTCGATGCGGTTTCAAATGCACATTTTTTAACACAGGATTATTGGAAAAACATCAGCAAGTGCTCATAATACATTTATTCTTCTATTATAACGTATAGCGATAATGGGAAATTCTTCTCTAAGGCCCTGCAGATCTAGTTCAGGTTCAAATGATTAATTGCTCTGAGCTTAACAGTTTAAATGCAGTTCTACTGTGTTACATTGTGGGTTTTATTTTTGTGCTTTTGACTATTGTTCTTACTTGCGGTAATAACATTGTGTCTCCTAATTCCAAGGGAGTCCCACAAGAGCTCCCACTCAGTATTAGAACTTCTCTTTTCCCAGCGCTGGAAATAAAATTAAAGTTTTAAACAAACCCAGAGATTAACCTAACTTGTGTGGACAAGGAAACAAAGGCAAGCAGAAAAATGTATACACATATTTATTATTGTATTTAACGTGGTAGATAATAGCCAGACTTAACAAGCTAACTCTTAGCTCCTTGCCAGTTCTCACATCTTACTTTTCATAACCCACACAAATTATGGGCATGCTCTACTAATCTGGAATTGTCCTTTAAATTTTAAGCATGATCCCAAGCCTGCAATTATCACTTGTGCTTTACTGGCTTAAAGGGTGACTCAGCTAATCAAAACTGTGGCCTGCCTCTTCCCGTCCTGTAATCCTGTATTCTCGGCCATACATCACAGCTCTACAGCTCAGTTGAGCTCCAGTCCTGGTATAAAGGTCAGTAGCTCCAGGCTGTCCATCTGTCTGCTGCATCTCTCTCTTTTTCTCTGCTTCTTGAATGCCTAAATAAGAAAGGTTAGTAGACTCGGCTGCTCTTGCTTGAAAGGTCATGTGGGGGAGCAGACAGGAAGCACCCAGGATACTCTTATATTCGTATCAGTGTTATTTGTCCAGTCATTTGCTTGGGCAAGAAGCGGCTGAATTGGCCCGTGCATTTTTCTATAATGCCTTTCATGTTTAGGCACTAAAAGTAAAGTGGGAGCTGTGTGGGGGCTATAGCATTAGTTCCTCCTGTCACTGAAGTTACAGCAGCTTCGTGTGTGCATGCAGGGTTCTTTTGATGCTGCAGAATGAATTAAGAGCCAATCAGAGCCCACCTTTATGGTAATTTGTGATGGATAAGAATCTACAGCTAAAGTGTCTGAAACTTTAGCACAGTATAGTAAATGATCTAATTCGAGCTAAATAAAGCAGAGCTAATTTCATAATGTCATTACTTTATAATGTCATGTAGATGAGAGGATTGTTGACCTGTCTTAGCCTTAGCATGTCAGTCAAGGTGGAGGGCAATTAAAATGACCCCATTCGCCGTGACAGATAGAGCACAATTGAGCAACAGAAAAGAGGTAGGATCAAGATAAACTTTAAAGACTAGGGAGCAGCAGGAGACAGAGAGAATATGAAAATGAGAGACAAAGCAAGTGGAAATGCCACCCTTCAGGGATCAACTAGAGGAAAAAACGTGACAGAGAGGGTGGAGGGAATTGAGTGGAATGGATGTGAACTGGAAAAGACAGAGCAAGAAACTGAAAGTAGGAGAAAGAGTGGAGTTGAAGTGAGGAAAGGGCCTAAATTTAGACATGGAAATCAGGAGAGAACAGCTGCCTCCTTCCCTCAGGAGATACATTTAAATCAGGTCTGGCTGGCCAGAGGGGAGAATGGAAGAACCTACTCCACTGGCCAATTAGGCGCAAAGAACACTACGCTGTTCTAATATAACCATCATTGTGGCCCCTTTGGCCCTTTCAGTCCCAATGGAAGTGTAGCACCAGACACTGACGCAAAGCATAGACAGAGGGATCCCCGGACTATTGTAGATCTGTGTAGGAGAGGAAAGGAAAGAAGAGGAGAGATGAAATGTAAAAGCTAATAGTTTAGTGTGTCTAGCCAAAGTAAACCTATGGCATAAATATCTTTACATCGGCCTGATAGACCAGTGTGCCTCTGCTACCAGTCAGTCACTGACCAAATAGCTTTACACATATCTAATTCTGAAAAGGAACTGCAAACCAACTTATGGTGAAAATGTTATGGTATGTGGCAGGCTTTACGTCATTCCATGTTGACCTGCAGCAGGCTGACGTTTCCCTCTCACACAATGCTGCACTTCGTAGCAGAAAACTACAGCTCTTATTTTGTTTCGTATCAATACGCTATGCAAACACCCATATCAGTTTAAACTGCATACAGATTTGAATAAAGCTACATTCAAAACAAAATAAAATGAGGTGTGTTACACAACATATCTACAACATAGTGCTAACGCAATGCCGAGTAATTAGCCAGGGTATCCATCTGTTTCCTTGTTGAAGTAGCTGTTGTTAAAAAATAGTTTTATCAAATTCCAACAGGATCAGCTCAGTCAGTACGAGGCAAAGCTGCAAACTAGCATTTTAAAGGTGTGATAAGAGAGCGATGTGGGCATTCAAATGTATTAGATGAAGAGTCACACTGGATCATGGGGTGTTATATTTTGAGATGTGATTGAGCGGGCGTAAGTTAGCCATGTGCACTGGTGTAAACGTTTTTAAATGTGTGATTTTACAAACGGATAAATGTTTGAATTTAAAGAAAACAAGTGATTTTCACATATCGATCAGATTCCGCTGGTAAGACTTAAAAATTTGGAGCCCAAAACCAGTGAAGAAAGTTTGATCTTTTTGAATCGTAGTCAAAATGTATTAGAATCATAGCACAGTGACTATGTATCTTTTTACACACACACACACACACACATATATATTTATATATACATATATATATAGTTGATCATTTTCTGATATTACAATCTGATGCTGTGATACTTTTGCATTTGGTTACTCCGTAAGTCTTTAGTGAAAATCTGAATGAGCGAGCCACATTTTGGAAACGCTCATTTCCCCCCAAGACATACGTGGCATTTTGCCATACTCATTAAATCACTCAATTCTTCCTTGTTTGTCATAAGCAGATAATTTGGAAAACAAACTCGTCTATTATATTTTAAGATATAAGTGAAGAGTTGGCAACACAACAAGCAAGCGGCTCCCCAGACACATCTGCTGCGGTAATGAACTAAAATTATATTTTGCAAAATCTCACTCACAAAACATCATTGGTACCATCGGGTATGGCGGTTAACCATTAACTTCTCTTTGTGGCCACCACAAAGGAAACAAAATGTATCACACTGGGCCGCATGTCGCTCCACTGCGTGAGCGAAAAAAATGAGAAAAAGTAAGTGATTTAAAGAGAAGGAGTAATAAAGAGAGTGAGGGCAGGCGCAGCAGAACGGTAAATCGCTGGCAGATCATGCCTCATGCAAAACTTTCATGAATAAAACATATTCCTAGCCTCCCATAGCTCACATCCATTTTTCCTTCGTTTCCCTCCTCTTCCCGCTCTATCTCTCACACGCATGATTAACCTCGGGAGGCCTTAATCAACACTGGAAATGACCCGTGCTCCATGACTTACCTGTCGCTTCCTCTCTTTCTCTCCTTCACCTCACCTTCTCCTGTCTCCGCACATCCTTCGGCGTGGGTTTCCCCTGCCTCGTCTGCTCGCCCAGAAGACAAAACACCGTCTGCGGGTTTGTTTATGCTACCTGTGCAATAATTAACTTGTGTAAGAAAACTCAATTGGCAGCGTTCAGTGGATATCGTGGCGTTTAAAATCTCACAAATTTGAAATATTTTTTTCGCCTTATATATGTTTTTCTTTTCTTCTGTGTTTCCTAATCCTTGCCTGGGGAGGAATGGCGGTTTAAGACGTGAGAGTTAGCTGGGGATGAATAATCTTTCTTACCTAAGCCTTCATTCACACAGTCTTTAAAATCTGTCCTCCGGGGATGGGGACAGGGATAGATTTATGGTTATTATTATTTACTTGCTTACTTGCTCCCTCAGCCTTCACACTAAAGCGTACCCAAACACGCATGTAGACCCACACGAGCAACAGTGTGAGCTGTCCAGAGTTCTGAAAACTGGCAGGCGGCTATTGATGAACTGGCTCCAGAAGTGACCTGTCCGTGGTCCTGAAAACTCCCTCTATTCAGCTTAGAGGTCACCCAGAATGATATCACTCAGTTGAGCTCTGCGATTCTCTCTTTGGATGCAGGCTTAACACAAATTAACATCCATGCATGCACACGAGTCCACAGAGAACAGTTTTTAATTGGTCTTCCCTGTGTAGCTAAGGTTTCAGGGTTGGTACCACGGGCTAAATGCCTCCTGTGTGTTCAATGTTAGGGTCCAATTTAGCACACAGTAGTGACTGGCCAGTCTGCCTGAACATTTGCTTTGTAATTAGGCTGTTAAGCTTCTTCTTCTTTTTTCAAACACACGAGACATTTTTGTTCTTCCCTTTTCTTCCCTAGTGAAGAGCTGATTTACTCCTCCAGTGATATTAAAGTATTTTACTTATTTTTACAAGCATCCTTATCAAACAGCTGGATAAAAATCGAATTCTCCAGTTTACCTGCAGAGCTTCTTATTTTATATCGCTGTCCTTGTGCTGAATTGAAATTCATCAAGAGAATTTAATTACCAAAGCACCCGTACAAGTTGAGCAATCGCAAATGTGCCATCTGTCTGACTCTGTCTGCCCCAGCAGCTTTCTCTGTCCCCCACCTGATGCATCCACATCTCCTCTTACACGTTTCTCGTTTGTGTCGTTTTGCAGGGATAAGCGGACAGTATCCTCTGGTTCAGAACGTGACTGTGACAGAGGGTGGGATAGCGAACCTGACCTGCCGTGTGGAGTTTAATGACAACACCTCCCTCCAGTGGTCAAACCCAGCACAGCAGACCCTCTTTTTTGGGGACAAGAAGGGTGAGTTGGAGATGAAGCAGACAACAGCCACCACATGACAGATCTGGTCTTTAAAAGTATATGTTGGGTTTGCAGAGGAATGCATAAAACGGGATTGAATCCTTTTTCTTTTTTTTTTTGTTGGTTGGAGATTGACCTAAAAAAAACAAAAAATCGTACTTTTTCTGTGTGTCTGTCTCTGCTGTGTCTCAGCATCTGTCCCACATTTCTCGAGTTTGTGTTTTCATGTCTGTGCAGCACGTTTTTTCATAGTAAGGAGAAACAGATACACTTGTGTCCCAGCTGCTTCTCATGCTGTTTTTTGCAAAGCTTCCCTCTGTGGATGTATAGTATGCCGTTGTTATTACTCTTTTACTTTGTTACTGTTCATCCTTACACACATAGATAGACACACATCGCTACAAAGAAGCCGTCAGTGGTGAGAGTAGATGTGACCAGCTCTATTTTGAACAGTATAACCAGTGCTGATTACCACCTGCCATTTGCAGTTTAAGGGCTTTAGCTTCTCTGTCAGTTTGTTTGCAGTTGGTTTTGCTTCACTGTAGCGGTTGTCTGTGGTGAATGATTGGAAAGTATAACTGAATAAGGTAAGTGCCATCTTATCTGGCATTTCAAGCACAAGCATGATCAGTGCAAACCTTCGATCAGATTAACCACCGCCAATAAAAAAATGATGTGGTGGATCAAATCCATTTTTATTTTCTATAACCCCTCGATCTAAATTTAAAACGGTGCTTAAAAGGTTTAAATTGATGTTCTGGTCAAGTTGGAAGATCATCCCACACGTTCTGTTGGTGCTTAGCTCGTACCAGCATTAGCGTCTGCAGCACACAGTATATTAGGAGTGATGCAATATTGTTGGCTTGTGTATAAGTGAGAGCAATAAAGTTGTTGCTGATATTCAAAGACTCATTTTCACATTTTGTGGTATAGCCTTCATCAGCAGAGCATACCTATAGTATCCAGTTAGCTATTTAGTGGTACATTTTTCCCCAGGTATTACAATGGGTGCTCGGACCCAAATGACTGTCGTATAACGCAGAAGCGAACAAAAACACTTTGAAGCTACAGTGAAATTTCATAGCACATAAAAGCGTCAGCAATGAAAGCCACATCTTTGTGAGAAGTGCCTAAAGAGTGACAAGCAAAAAGTACAGACTTCACTTAAAGTGCGTGGGCGAGGGGCGTGTTTAAATCCAGTTTAATGATTTAAAAATGTTGAATAGGAGAGATTTCACACTTTTTTTTATAATAAGAGGTGTTTATACCCTCTTAATCAAACTCATGCTTCAAATGTATGGGTTTGTAAAAATTTTGCAACTGTGAGGATATGCTGCAGCGTACAAACAGAGGAGAGAATGTTTAGCGTTTTGTTATATAGGACTTTAACAATCTCATCAACACATCCCACTTTCAGGGAGAAAACAGCCTGGGAGTGATGTGTCTGCAGAGAAGAATCGAAGCTCTGTATAAATAACAGTTTATATACCAGAGAGCTGCATATTCCCACACAGACATTTCTCCATTAAACAAATGCAAGCCCTTGTTATTGTTCACACATTCACCGACGCACGCAAACACAATATCCTGCGTGAATACACAAACTCTAGGTGTGGCAGGAAACTGCCATTGTTTTAATGGCTAATAAGTACAGAGGGTTTATTCCTGACCTTTTACACCATCTTCAGTAGTGTCCCCATAAAGAGGATTCATGGGCCTTATTTAGTTGGTTCATGCCTGCTGGAGTGATTGTGCCCTGCGCATCTCTCAGCTGTATTATTTGAGTGTCATAGAGTATGAATCACACTCTCTTGTAAGTGTCTGGATTAAGCACATATGGGATTTACACAGTCTTTTTCCATTATCCCGCTGCCCACTGGGCTTCCTTGTCCGTTTGGGTGTTCATGCACTGTACGCGTGTGTGTTTTCTGTGTTGTTGTTTGTATGTATTTTTGCATAGGGTAACTGAATGCATGCATGGGGCAAAGCATTTCAATTTTCCGTCATTCACGTTTTCACTTACCTGCCTTTTTTCAGAAAGAGCAGCGGTAAAAAGCTGCATTGAACATCAAATTCAACAGGTGATGTTCTTCGCAGGTTATTCCATATCACACCAGGGGTCGGGCTTGGGGGTCTATTTCATGGCATTTCCAATGCAAGGCTCTAAGATTGGAAATGAAAAACCAGCCAAGGACTTTCTTATTATCAGAAAAGCAGGGGGATACTACTAAGGCTCCAGAGCTGTGTTGCTGTTTTGGTTTGGGTCTGTATTTGTGTATGTGTGTGTATGTGTGCTTTGGGAGTTGTCTTGCTGAACGTGGCAAATTCAGATGCACATGCTGATGGGAGCACAGAGATGGTGAGTGTTTCCAAAGTGCCACTGGCAGTGTGTGAAAGGAAAGATGTCTCAGCTGCAAACGCCTTTGAGCACAGTAGGTTTCAGATTAATTTTCCTTGCTGCCTGTTGGGAAGAAGAAGATGGGGATTAGGGCAAGCACACAGTTGCTCAAAAATACAACCCCAACTCTGCAACTTTTTGCATACTTTGCTATGTCACAGTGGTTGAAAAAACTATTTTTCCCTCCGTCTCTTAATGTACAAGATATTTTCCATGCAGCATCTACCTTGTTTGAACCTGCAGGTTTACTCCGTGTAAACGCAATTCTTCTTTAAATGTTAAAGGTCTATTTCAAAGTCAGCTACCGTAAATATCATTGTGATGAATTGTGGTTTTCTCTCCACTCTCCACCGAAGGAATCATTTCAGATTTCCGTATTGATGCGCGTCTGCGCAGCAGGCTGGTGACTTTGCACCGCACCTGCATGACCACATGTCGAATCACAAAAAAACGTCACTTGCATCCGGGGTTAAACCCAGCCACAGAGCATTAGCATAAACATATTGCTTTTGGAAAGACAAATGCAGCAACTGACTCCATCGTAGTCTTTTGAGTGGTGCCGGTTTCTCGGCTGTTGTTGTTTAATGTCAGCGCTGAGATTCACCTCTAAGACATTTAGTCAGATGAAAGAGACTCCTCTTGTCTCCCATCCTCTCAAAGGTGCTGGCTGTGAAGAGTTGTTTGAATTTCAAATAAGTCATTGTCCCGAATGTAGCCAATTTTGTCCTTTCCATCACTTACCACTAAGGGACTTAAGCTGTGCTTTGACAGTGAGAGAGATGAGCGCTGGGCAAGAGGGATTCTCTCTTTTATAAGATTCAAAAGAGGCTAATATCTCCTTACAAATTGCTCTTTTGGTTGACTTGATAATAGCTTTATTTCCTGGATGGAGAAATTCTGCAATGGCCCATAATTACAAAATATTCGTTATTCCCATACTAGGAAGAGCCTATGTATAATTACTTTCCAGGCTAAATTTGCAAGCCTATTTAGTGGACTCATCATGTGTGAGCGCTCGCTATGGTATGACATTTAAATCACTTACTCAACATGGTTGCTGTAATTCGCTAACCCTTTTACATACCATTTCTTTCTTTCTTTTTTGAACACCCACATGTGGGTTTTCATTTTCAACCTACTTCCTTGATTCTTTTCCCTTCTCTTTAATTATCTGTCCACCCCTACCTTCCCGACTATGGCAGGATCATGGTTTACCTGTCTTTACATGCATCATAAAGCGTTTCCCTGCAGCACAAACTTGGCAGAGCTGAATACATTATAGTTCTGTTCAAAATTATACTAAAGCGGCAGGCCTTTGTACTGGGAGCTCTGTGGCTAGAAAAGATTCTGCACATATTTCTCCAGTAATGTAATTAGTGGTCTGATATTTGGGTTTAGGTCATGTTGTCTTTGGACAACCTCCAGGAAAAAATAGTGACATGCCTTGCTGTGTGGTGGTGTAGTATTTCTTCAGGGTCAGAAATAGTACGCTTTATTCTGGAACTGACATCATTTATATTTGCTCGTTTAGTTCCTGAAATAGTTTCCCAGCTAGATAAGCGTGCACAAGTACAGGGAAACTATCGTGTTGCACTATGAGAAGATTTTTATTTTAATTTTTTTGCCATTTTCACCTTCACTGAGTAGATGTGGCAGAGGCAGGAAATGTGAGGAAAGCGAGCAGATTGACATGCAGTAAAGGTCTGAGTTCAGCGTGAATCAAACCAGGGACTCTTAAAGATCCTTAAAGATATTTGCACCCATGTGGCATTCACTCTGAACACTCAGCCATTGAGTTGGTCTGTTTACAGTAGAAAAAGATAAAAATGGATTTTACAATAATAGTTCTCAGAAAAAAGATCTAAAAGAAACATCTTTTAGATAAAAATACCATTGAATGCCGTTCTTTTCATGTAAATGCTACAGATTCAGCAAATCCTCATGAGTGCTGTTCTGTATATGTATTTGTTATGAATATATAGGCACTGAAATTAGTTTGACATCTTTCCAGCTAAATGCTTTATTAATGCTTAGATTTTGAGAGATTAATGCAAATTTTAAAGCATTTTTCATGCTCTTCAATTACTCTGGTCTTGCCTCATTCTGCTTAAAAGGCAAACTGACCATTAAGAGGTCACGCTGTCTTTGTAACTTCTAACGCAGTGTGAACTCGGGGAGCTACCTGAGTCCCGCGCATGTGCGCTGGCATATTAGAAGAACAGTCAAATTAAAAACTGCATTCTAAAAATGGGCAAATTTTTCAGATCTGTTTGCTGCAGAGGTTATTTTTTAGCATTTTCTTTTTTTTTTTAATGTAACTATGAGCAATAGTTTGTTAATGGTTCTTGAAAAATGACCAAGTGCTGAGTGCACCTGTGGTGGACAACTCTGTCTATGCTGCGCTATTTGCAGATTGATTGAATCTGTTTAAACATTAAGATTAGTGTTATGGGTGAACAGCTAAGGGCCAACTGCTCATTTTTAGGCCCCCAAACTGCTGAATATGAAACTATTCAGGTCCTAAGATATCAAATATTCAGCTGTCTGAATCAATTTGCTGGCTGTTTGTGGTTGTGTGAGCGTGTGTATCTGTGCTTGTAAG